AGTAGTGGCGGTTGTGTTGGAGAAGGGGGTAGAAAGAGAAGTGAAAAACAAAAAGGAGCATTTGGCAAACACTGGGCTATTAGGATGAGGCTCAGCTCTAACTAGCACCCAGGCCCCACCAAGGAAGCAAATGGAAGCAGTACCTACCATAGAAACATGTAAATACCAAGGCCTGAAATCCAAACACAAAAAAGCACTCTCTTGAAAATCACTGAGAAAATAGATTACCAGAAAAAAGTGTCTGCCCATTTTGAAGAATCAGTTGACAGCTAATAACCTGTAGAGATTACTTTAGTAGACACACAAATGTTTGTTGAGGACTAATTTATTTATTCATTCAGTAAATATTACTGAAGCCTACTAATATGCCAGAATGAGCTTTGCAAATGAAGTATCTTCTGCCCTCATGGATCCTACAGTTTAGAACATAGGAGAACAGGCATGCGCAGACAGAACACAGTCTGATAAGTGTTGCAAGACTTATCAGGTTGTACTATAATTTCTTCCAGGATGTGCTTCTCCAGGCTGCAACTGGAGAAGGGAAAAACCAGTGCAGGAGAGTGCTAAATACTTTTTAAAATTGTTTGGCCATTTCATACAATTCCACATTTTCCTTAATTCCCAGTCCTAGTTAGACTGCAAAAAATGCTGGCATGGGGTGGAATGCTTAAGGACAGACACAGAGGTGGAAAAAGGATGTTTTCAAGCACCTCCACAAAGTACGACACCCCTCCCCCAGCTTTTCTTTTATATTTCAGTCCTTCAAACGCACTGCATACAAGCCTTATTTAATACTATCTACAGCTAGAAAAATGAGGTTACAACTAACTAGGTGAAAATCAGGGTAATTATAGTAGTTGAGAGCAACCTGGGTCCTTTAACAACCCCCCTCCTCCAATCCACACCCAGGCCTATAATCCTGGTACTTGGGAGTCTGGGGTAGGAAGATCTCCACAAACTGGCAGCCTGCCTGCATTACATAGGGAGCACCAGACTAGCCTCAGCCACATTAGTGAGTGTTTCACAAAATTAAAAAATGTAGCAATGCCCCCCACAATCCCAGCACTGGGGATGTGGAGGCAGGAGGAACAAACTTTCAACGGTCACCTTAAATTACATGAGACTATCTTTCCTCATACACACAAAGAAAAAAAAAGACTACTAAATGCAAAATAGATGAGACATGAATATGGAACAGAAATGTTAGACCACTGCATTTAATAAACCTTAAGAAAGCAAAGAGTATGGACCAGGAGTAACCGGTTTCAGGAATCAAAGAATACTCTCCACCCTTCCCAAGGTCTGAAAACACCTGATTCACATTAAAAACCACAGCGAGTTCGAGGCCAGTCTGGCCTACAGAGTGAGTTCCAGGACAGGCTCCAAAGCTATACAGAGAAACCCTGCCTCGAAAAACAAAAAACAACAACAACAACAAGAAAACTCCCTAAAAACCAGACTAAACATTTTCACTCCCTTTTTCAAAACTGGATAACAGTAAGAGTCTCTTTGAGGAGAGATTACCACTGTAAATAGTTACTCGGAAATCCCACCATCTGTCATAGGCACAGCAGCAAGCGCTGCAAGGAGCGTCTCAGCCCCGAGCGCCCTCACCCCAATCCCTGTCTCGGCGCGGACGTCACTTCCGTTTCTGCCACCCGCGCTAGCGTGCGAGGCGCGGGAAAAGAAGCTTCCTTCGGAAGAGGGGGAGTGAAGGGGAAGGCGCAACCCACGCGAACCTAAAACTACATTTCCCGAGGGGCCGTGGTGACAGAGGCCGTAGACACGATGTCACCCGGAAATGGATCCTGGGCTTTCAACTCGTGCGAGGGAAGAGCTCTGGAGCCAACAAGACGGCCCGAGCACCCCACTAGGGATCATTAGGAAAAACTAGAGTTTGCTGGCAGAACAACTTTCCGGTTTTAAACCAGAATCAAACGCGGACAGCGTTTAGGAGGTGGAGGGAGAAGACCTAGCGTTCAAGTTCTTCTCGCATACGTGGCGTACTGGAAGTCAGCCAAGGCGCCAGCAGCCCCAGCGGCATAACCCCACACAGGGCTGGGGACGGGGGACCAGGGACGGGGGACGGGCAATGCTAGAGAACAAAGTTACTTTCACGTGGTCACTGCTGACCCTCATATTTTCATTTCTTGGGGGAAGGACTTTAAAGCTGAAATACCCAGAATAACCATTTATTTCATGACCAAATTGTATATTTTAATCTAGACAAGTTGGGGAAATGTGCAT